GGGGCCACATGAGATGCCCCTGGTACCTTTTTCATAGGCTTTTTTGAGTTTGGGCAAGGACACAGGGGTCCCATGATCCCCTATTGCCCGGGGGCCCCATGAGTTGTCAGTCCATCCCTGGTACAGACCCTTATTCATGACGCACCTTTGCCAAGTCCACCACATAGGGAACATATTGCCCACTTTGGGAGACACCCTCCATAATGGTTTTGTGAAGAAGGTAACACAACCTCTGCAGGTAACAAGTTTAAATCTGCACTCCAAGGATGATATATTTTGCAGATACATTGGGCCAGCTTGGCGAGGTAATGGCCACAGTCTTCTGGGTGCTGTGCCTAGCAGCTGCCCTTCTGCATAGTAATCACAGGGGGTTGCTTGCTTGGCTGCCATTCAGAAAGCACCTTGCATTTGTCTCCATGAATGCAAAGCATTCTCTGATTGGGCAAGGTGGAGAGGATGGGCGGTACCCAGGGGCGTATTTACCACAAGACAAACAGCAGAGAGCCAGAGGGAGGGAGAGGAGAAGAATCCAGCTTTTAGCTGATGCAGAGAGAGCCATACAGGGGATCAGTTCCAGTAATCGCCACCTCCACCCCCACAGTGCTGCCGGGTTCCCTCCTCTCCTACCCACCAGAAGCTGCAAGCACACATTAGGATCCTTCAGGGTGGAGAATAAGGGAAGGGTCCAGTTAATATTTTTGCCAGCCCCTTCCTTTCCTGAATGAACACAATGAGTGCTCGGCACTGATCACTCACTGTGTTCATTCATAACTGAAGCATAGTAAATTGTGATTTTTTCTTTTGGGGGGGGGGGGCCTGTCAGGTTGGATGTGTGGGGCCCCATGGTTTCTAACAGCAGCCCTGTGTTGGGAGGGGGGAAGGGATCAGTTCCATTCCATAATCACCCCCACACTATGTTGATTACCCTCCCTTCCCACATTCAATTCACCCAGATGCTTGGGGCCCCCCTGCTGGCCTGGGTCCCATACAGGAGGACTGGTGGTACCCCCATATCCATGGCCCTGTCCTAACACCTATCGTGACTAACCTGCGTGAGATTGATGTATATGCTCACCTATTTTTCAGCGCGCTTTGGTCACATGAGCACCTGTGTCAGCCAGTGGCAGCTGCAGGGGAGAGGAGGGAGCACCGACAACAGCTGGGAAATCTTAGTGTGGTGATGTCCCCCATAGGCTCCCATGGCCCATCTATTTTCAGAGCTTCCTTCTCTCCCCTGCAGCTGCTGCTGGCTGACCCAGAGGGTCACATGGCTGGACCATAACGGGCTGAAAATAGGTAAATATATCCGTCTCTCTTACACAGGTTTTTCAGCAAGTAGGTAGGTGCCGTGTGTTATCTCCACTGTAGGTGGTACTACAGCCTGGAGAGGAAGTCAAGAGAAACGTGGTTTCTCTATGGCTTATTGGGGTCAATGGAGCAGCATTCCAATTGGCTATGCTGTGGCCTTGTCACTCATGGCAGCCATCTTGGGTCAGCCAGTTCTTTATAAGTTCCTGCCCCCCGGGTTTTGGCATGCATGTGTGCGAATGGCAAGTGTAGGGAGAGAGACCCTGCTTGCTAAGAAAAGCAACTAGTGGTAGGAAAAGGATCCAGGTGAGTAGAGCAAGGCTAGGGACTTGTTAACCTGGAAGGAAGCCTCCCCGCTTGGGGCCGGCCAGGCTGCACTCCATCCTCTGAAACAGACACTGTCAGCACCTCTCCTCAGCCACATCTTTGAAGTACATTAAACTGTGAGTACTTCCCTAGCGGCTCTTCCCATGTTGGTAACATTGGCATTCTGTTCAGTACAAGTTACAAGTTTACTGCAACCGGACTCTGTGCGTTCACTGCTGCCGCCACCACCACGCACAGGCATAGGCAGGGGTGGACTGACAACTCATGGGGCCCCCAGGCAACAGTTTGCGCAGCGCTTTACAATATAAGGGAGATCGTACAATTACAATACTTTCAGTACAGAAGGAATGTGAGGGCCCGGCTCGTGGAGCTTACAATCTAAAGGATTAAGATTTAATTATTACGGTTAGATTAAAGCAATATTAAATCCAAAAACAAACATTTATTATATCGCAGCTTACCAATTCTTAGATGTGATGACTATTTTCATCCGGTGGTCCAGCCAGTAAGTTTGCTGTTTTTCAAAAGAACAAGCTCTTTTCCAAATCAGAGAGGAGACAAACCATTTAACGCTGGCAGAGGTTCTTACAATAATCACCTTTGATTTATATAAAACCTTTATCATAAAAGAAAAAAAAAATGCTGCTGCCCAAAGGTTGCCCCCCTGTGCTCCTTCATCCAGAGTAGGGGCGCTCTAATACAAGAGTGGCGTTGCTGGCCAGAAGGAGAAAAGTCTAAAAAAAAAAATCTAAAAAAAAAAAAAGAAAGCGAATGCAGCCATAAAAGTAAAAAAAAACCCTGTTTGCTGTAGATGATTATAAAGCATTAGCTGGAGTTCGGCTTTAATTTGTTAGTAAATCCACTAGTCCATCTAACACTCTCATCCCCCCAGACTGATAATGTTGCTGTCCAAAGGTTGCCTCCCAGTGCTCCTTCATCCAGAGTAGGGGCGCTCTAATACAGGAGGCACCTTGCTGGCCCAAGGGAAAAAAGTCTAAAAAAAAAAAAATAAAAAAAAAAAGTCTAAAAAAAAAAAAAAAAATCTAATGAAAAAAAAGTCTAAAAAAAAAAAAAAAAAAAAGAAAGTGAATGCAGCCATAAAAGAAAAAAAACTGTTTGCTGTAGCTGATTATAAAGCATTAGCTGGAGTTCGGCTTTAATTTGTTAGTAAATCCACTAGTCCATCTAACACTCTCATCCCCCCCAGACTGACAATGCTGCTGTCCAAAGGTTGCCTCCCTGTGCTCCTTAATCCAGAGAAGGGGCGCTCTAATAGAAGAGACGCATTGCTGGCCAGAGGGAGAAAAGTCTAAAAAAAAAAAAAATTAAAAAAAAAAAAAAAAAAAAATCTTAAAAAAAAAGTCTAAAAAAAAAAGAAAGCAAATGCAGCCATAAAAGAAAAAAACAGTTTGCTGTAGCTGATTATAAAGCATTAGCTGGAGTTTGGCTTTAATTTGTTAGTAAATCCACTAGTCCAGGGGTAGGCAACCTGCGGCTCTCTAGCTGTTGTGGAACTACATTTCCCATGAGGCATTGCAACATTAGAAAACTGATAGTTACAGCTATGACTTGCAGAGGCATGATGGAACTTGTAGTCCTGCAACAGCTGGAGAGCCGCAGGTTGCCTACCCCTGCACTAGTCCATCTAACACTCTCATCCCCCCAGACTGACAATGCTGCTGTTTGGACAGCCTCACTGTGCTCCTTCATCCAGAGTAGGGACGCCCTAATACAGGAGGCACGTTGCTGGCCAAAGGGGAAAAAAGTCTAAAATAAAAAAAATCTTACAAAAAAACAGTCTAAAAAAAAAAAAAAAAAAAAAATCCCCCCCCAAAAAAACAGCAAAGTCTGAAAAAAATAAAAAAAGTCTAAAAAAAAAAAGAAAAAAAGAAAGCTAATGTAGCCACCACATCTAATGGTTGGTAAGCTGCAATATATACAAGTTTTGGTTTGGGGTTTAATGCCGCTTTGATTGGAAGTGTTGGAGGTCGGGTACATGGGAAGGACTTTGTTTGTGGTCATGGGGTTCATTTTAGTTATTTCAAAAGGTAGTGCTTGGGGTCAGTGGTGGATTCATTTCTTGTGCCGCCCTAGGCAACAGAAGAATCTGCCGCCCCCCCCCCACCAGCAGCGCGCCATTCACGTTGCCACCCACCCCTGTCGCCGACACCCAATCACCTGCCATCCGCCAGACAAACGCCGCCAGCACTGCCGCCCATCACCACACCCCTTCCGCCAACACTTGATCACCCAATTCAACAACTAACCTGCACAAGAAGCAGCCGGCCATCCCAGCACCCTCCAGCAGGGTGCAGCCTCCTCACCAGGTCCCTGTCCATGCCACTTCTTCCAGGGGGCGGTGCCACACCCCCCCCAGAAAATTGCCGCCCAAGGCAAACGTCTTGTTTGCCTCGCGGTAAATACGCCGCTGGTTGGGGTGTAGATTACATGTTAGTTACGGTTAGGGTTCATTTTTGGAGTCCCCAACTACTGAAAACCTGGCACAGGAAGGATGGGGTGCAGGGGCGGACTGACCATTTGGAAACCCGGGCACTGCCCGAGGGCCCAGGGTCAGTAAGGGGCCCCATGAGATGCCCCTGGTACTTTTTTCATAGGCTTTTTTGAGTTTGGGCAAGGACACAGGGGCCCCATGATCCCATATTGCCCGGGGGCCCCATGACTTGTCAGTCCGCCCCTGATGGGGTGCAATATGGCCGTGATTCTTGTTGCTACATTTGTGTTGGAAATGTCATTATTACTTTCTTTGCAAAGTGTTATTTTTTTTTTTTTTGTTAAAATTAATTTTGTGCATGTTCATCCCAAGGGAGATGGATTTTGAGGGAACAGTGGTATTCTAGCCCCCATGTGAGCTCTGATTTGTACTGTCAATAGCAGTTATTCTTTTCCTTCTTTTTTTTTTTTCATTTTAAACTGTAACTTCCAGCAGGTTGTGTTCAGGAGATAAAGGTTTGATATAAAATCTCATCTGTAATAAAGCAGATCTCCCGGAGAGGGTTTAAATTGGCAAGATTTGGGCTTGAAAATCTCTAATTATAGACATCTAATGCAGAACTGTGACAAACGCGCCCCCCCATCAGGACCTTGTTCTGCTGTTGTAATACATAGTAGAGTATACACGGTGGGTAAGGTATCCATTGATCAGGAGTGGCCAAGAACTTAGAGGGGGTGTACATATCCCAACCCCAACCCCCACCCCCGTCCACTTTGTAATGGTGCCGAGAGATGTTTATTACAGGAATCTGGATAGTTTTTTTGTTGAGCTGCATTCTCACTCATAGCTGGAAGTGCTGGGGCTGACATGCATATGAGTTTTTGTGCAAAGCATTTAATCTAGCCCATCAGAGTGCCCCCTTACATCATGTGTCCCCATCAGAGTGCCCCCTTACATCATGTGTCCCCATCAGAGTGCCCCCTTACATCATGTGTCCCCATCAGAGTGCCCCCTTACATCATGTGTCCCCATCAGAGTGCCCCCTTACATCATGTGTCCCCATCAGAGTGCCCCCTTACATCATTTGTCCCCATCAGAGTACCCCCTTTTATCAGGTGTTCCTATTAATGTGCCCCTTTACATCAAGTGTCCCATAAGAGTACATCCCTTACATCAGGTGTCCCCATCAGAGTGCCCCCTTACATCATTGTTGCCCATCAGATTGCTCCATTACATCAGGTGTCCCCATCAGAGTGATCCCTTGTATCAGTGTTTCCTATCAGAGTGCCGCCTTACATCAGGTGTCCTAATCAAAGTTCCCCCTTACATCAGGTGTCCCCATCAGAGTGCCCCCTTACATCAGGTGTCCCCATCAGAGTGCCCCCTTACATCAACTGTCCCCATCAGAGTGCCCCCTTACATCAGGGTGTTACTATCAATGTGCTCTCTTACATCAGGTGTCCCCATCAGAGTGCCCCCTTACATCAGGTGTCCCCATCAGAGTGCCCCCTTACATCAACTGTCCCCATCAGAGTGCCCCCTTACATCACGTGTCCTAATCAAAGTTCCCCCTTACATCAGGTGTCCCCATCAGAGTTCCCCCTTACATCAACTGTCCCCATCAGAGTTCCCCCTTACATCTAGTGTCTCTGTCAGAGTGCCCCTATCAGTATTCCCCCCGACATCAGTGTTCCCCATCAGAGTGCCCCCCTACATTAGGTGTCCCCATCAGAGTTCCCCCTTATTATTATTTTATTATTATTATACAGTATTTATAAAGCGCCAATAGTTCGCTCAGCGCTGTACATTACAAAGGGGGACAGAACATGTGACAGAACAATACCAATACAATGCAAAACATGAGGGGATTGAGGGCCCTGCTCTTTGGAGCTTACAATCTAGGAGGGAGGGGATGGTGGCACAGGAGGAGATAGCTGTGGGGGATGGAGTGGTAGGAAGAGTGGAGGAGGTCGGCAAGTTAGCAGGGGGTGGGGTAGGCTTCCCTGAAGAGGTGGGTTTTCAGAGTGTGCCTAAAGGAGAGGAGAGTAGGTGATAATCTGATGGGTTGGGGCAGGGAGTTCCAGAGGATGGGTGACACCCTGGAGAAGTCCTGGAGGCGGGCATGGGAGGAGGAGACCAGGGAACTAGAGAGAAGGAGGTCTTGTGAGGAGCGGAGTGTGCGTGTTGGGCGGTACTTGGATATTAGGTCAGTGATGTAGTTCGGGGCAGTATGGTGGACGGCTTTGTACGTCAGTGTTAGGATTTTGAATTTGATCCGTTGCGCAATCGGAAGCCAGTGGAGGGATTGGCAGAGGGGGGGTGGCGGAGATGGAGCGGTTGGAAAGGTGAATGAGTCTGGCAGCCGTATTCAGGATGGACTGAAGCGGGGATAGCCAGCGGCGAGGCAGGCCAATGAGGAGGGAGTTGCAGTAGTCCAGTTGTGATATGATGAGGGAGTGGATGAGCTGTTTAGTGGTTTCTGGGGTTAGGAACGTGCGGATTTTGGCGATGTTGCGGAGGTGGAGTCTGCATGAGTTTGTTAAAGAGTGGACTTGGGGCTGGAAGGATAGGTTGGAGTCCAAAATGATACCAAGTATTCTGGCCTGCGGGGCGGGTTTGATGGTGGCGTTGTTGGACATGATGGAGAAGTCAATGGGGGGTGGTGTCCGGGCTGGAGGGAAGACAAGAAACTCGGTTTTGGAGAGGTTCAGTTTAAGGAAGTGGAGCGACATCCAGTCTGATATGTCGCTCAACAGGTGTGTGATTCGGACGGAGACCGAGGGGGGTGAGGTGGGGGGTTGAGAGACAGATTTGTGTGTCGTCGGCATAGAGGTGGTAGTTGAAGCCCTGAGAGTGTATGAGTTGGCCAAGGGAGGAGGTGTAGATGGAGAAGAGAAGGGGCCCGAGGACAGAGCCTTGAGGGACCCCAACAGAGAGGGGGAGTGAGGGGGAGGTGGTAGCATTATAGGTAACGCTGAAAGAGCGTTGTGACAGGTAGGATGAGAGCCAGGAGAGAGCAAAATCTCTGAGGCCGAGGGAGTGTAGTTTTTTGAGGAGGAGGGGGTGGTCGACTGTGTCAAAGGCCGCAGAGAGGTCAAGGAGTAGGAGCACTGAATAGTGGCCATTAGCTTTGGCGGTTAGCAGGTCGTTGGAGAGTTTGAGTAAGGCAGTTTCGGTGGAGTGTAGGGGACGGAAGCCGGACTGTAGGGGATCGAGGAGGTTGTTGTCATTGAGGTGAGAGCATAGGCGGGTGTAGACGAGGCGCTCGAGGAGTTTAGATGTAAATGGGAGCAGGGAGATGGGTCTGAGGTTGTTCGGGTCATTGGGGTCCAGGGAGGACTTTTTAAGTATGGGGATGATGTGTGCATGTTTCAGAGGGGAAGGGAAAGTGCCGGAGGAGAGGGAGAGATTGAAGATGTGGGTGAGGGAGCGTAGGATGGAGGGGGAGGGAGGTTGTAGGAGTTGTGAGGGGATAGGGTCGAGGGGGCAGGTGGTGAGGCGGGCATCAGAGAGGATCTTGGAGACTTCTTCGATGGTAGTAAGGTCAAAGGTGCGGAGTGTTGGGGGACATCAGGTGTCCTCATCAGAGTGCCCCCCCACATCAGGTGCCCCCATCAGAGTGCCCCCTTACATCAGGTGCCCCCATCAGAGTGCCCCCTTACATCAGCTGTCCCCATCAGAGTGCCCCCTTACATCAGGTCTCCCCATCAGAGTTCCCCCTTACATCAGGTCTCCCCATCAGAGTTCCCCTTACATCAGGTCTCCCCATCAGAGTTCCCCCTTACATCAGGTCTCCCCATCAGAGTTCCCCCTTACATCAGGTCTCCCCATCAGAGTGCCCCCCTTACATCAGCTGTCCCATTAAAGTATCCGCCTTACAATAAATGTCACCATCAGATGTCCTCATCATAGTGTTCCCTTACATTGAATATTCCTATACAGTACATCAGATGACACTTCTACGCAGCATAACGCACACAACATTCGATCATTATAACGCGCACTACATTCGATCAGTATAGTGCACACTTTAGTCGATCATTCTAACGCGCACTACATTCGATCAGTATAGTGCACACTTCAGTCGATCATTATAACACACACAACATTCGATCAGTATAGTGCACACTTCAGTCGATCATTCTAACGCGCACACTACATTCGATCCAGCACCACCGAAGTCCTAGACAGGCTCATAGCCGGGGTCTTGCAGGGAACCTATACAGTAATTGCAGATCCCAGATTGTTCTTAAGAAAGAATAAAACATAAAGCGAAGTTGATATCCGCGGCTCCTCCGCACTGTCCAGCATCACAGATCGATTTTTAGATTGCAAGCTCCGTTATTTGTTTTTTTTTTGCTTTGCGCACTTTTGAAAAATAAATGATCCTTCAGAGTCGATGTTTCCCCCATGACTGCGGCCTCATTAGTTCTTGTAAAGAGTCGGCCCCCTCCTCCTAAATCTTAACAAGTCCGGAGTGCAGGACACTCATGTTTATTTGCTAAGCTCAGCTGTTGGCTCCGAAATTGCTGTAGCTGCAGAAAAGCGTCCAGATCGGCCCACGGAGTTCAAATGCCACCGTGCTGCGAGCGTCTCCGGAGCAGGGAATGGCTGTCCTGGCCTCAGTCTCTGCTCATACCATCTGCCAGGACCGCCATTGACGCACAACGCCGTGCCAGGCCATCCCGCTGCTTCACACGGCTGCCATCTGGGAATCATCCCTGCTGTCCTGAGCGCAACGTCTCTAAAAGCTTCATTCACACCCGAACGCACGCAACATTGCGCGTTTATGCGCGCTTTTTACAAAATGAGTGAAAACTGCGATGATATTCATTGTTAATGGCACCCCAAACACAGCAAGCAGGTGTGCATTTTTCCACGTGAAAAATGCAACAAATGTGGGGAAACGCGCAGTTAAAAAAATGTGCAAAAATGAATGCAGCAATTTAGCTATTTTGCCGTGTTTGTTGCGCATGGGGCAGCCCATTGAAATGAATGAGTGTAGCCTAAGAACGCACACAAAATGCGCACGTAGACCCCATTCACACCTAGCGTATCCGAAACACTCGTTTTTATGGCGTGTTTTTTGCATGACAAGCATAAGGCAGCCCATTCATTTCCTAATCAATATACAGCTGTCACATGACCCGGCTCTTTCTCAGCCGGTCCGCAGGGAAACAGTGGCAGGTGGAGGTTCTAATACAAGGGTAGGGATGGACGTTGCTCAACCGACCCCAGGAGTCCAATGTGGAGGAATGGTCTCAGCCGCAATTCTGGCCACGCCCTCTGAAGTATTTCACCCCACCAACCGGGGCTTGGTGACCCCTACAGACTGCTTCAATGACCAATGTTTTGGCAACCCTGCCTGAGCACAGTATCCATGCGGGGGGTGGGGGGGTTGCCTGGGTGGGCGCAGCTGCAATCTGAGGGGGGGGGGCATAGCCTACCCCAGTACCCCCCTAGATCGAGCCATGATTTCAGGAGGAGCTTCTAGTCCTCTGCTACTGATCATTTGTTCTAAATAATAACAAAAAAAAAAAAGACAGCCTTTGGAATACAGAGTAAAAATCAAGAATTAACATCGATAAACTGTTTTGAATTGTCATACAAATATATATTTGAAATGAAATCTTTATCATTTATTTACCCGTAACATGGTGGGGGCAGATTTCTGCCAGTCACAGGCTGTGTCACTCCCCTCCAGCCTGCATCTTAGAATAAAAAGAAGGTGAAGCCTCCATCAATCAAGATGTAATATCCCTCCCCACCATTGTGTTTAGCTGTTTAATGGGCCTGGAGGGGGAGGGAGGGAGTGGGCTGCCATTTATCTCCGTGTATGCGCCCACGTGTGTGATTCTATAGTCCCATGGGCTGCTCAGATGTGATGTTCAGCAGGGAAACTCACTGAAAACTGAGCATGTGCACTAGCTGCCAACACTGCTATGCAAAATCCCCAACTACATTGGGGACACAGCCAGGAGGGGGAGACAGAGAACAGCAGAATCAACCAGGCTTTTGCAGAATACATAAAATGAATCCCATAGTGACTGAGTGAGTGTGAACAGCATGGAATACAGAATTTATTGATATTTCCCAGAATGCACAGATGTGACCAGAGCTGTGGGGTTCTTGCACACTCAAATTGTTTTCATTTTGGATAGAGTAAGGGAGGGTTTTAACCCCCATCAGATTTTCTTCGCCCATCTGTGTCCCCTTAGGGAGATTTACCTTCACTTCCTGTCCCATAGCCAAACAGGAAGTGGAAGGAAATCACTGCAAATGAACCCCTTGCACTCCCGAGGATTCCCCCCCCCCCTTCCTGACCAGGCCATTTTTTGCGTTACTTTAACTGAAAATTGCGCGGTCATGCAACGCTGCACCCAAATTAAATTTATGTCCTTCTTTCCCCACAAATAGAGCTTTTTTTCGGTGGTATTTGATCGCCTGTGCGGTTTTTATTTTTTGCGCTATAAACAAAAAAAGACCGACACTTTGAAAAAAAAAAAAAAACAATATTTTTGACTTTTTGCTATAGAAAAAACATATCTAGTTAAAAAAAAATCAAATTTCTTCAAATTTTGGCCAAAATGTATTCTGCTCCGTGTCTTTGCTAAAAAAAAAATCCCAATATGTGTAAATTAACCACTTCCCGACCGGCTGTTGCATATAAACAGCCGGACGGTGGCACTGCAGAGTCGGGTGGCCGTTTATAAACGGCCTCCCCGCACCCTGCTTGTGCGCGCTCCCTCTGTCTCAAAAAAATGGTAAAAAATTCATTTCGGTACAGTGTTGCATGACCGTGCAATTGTCATTCAAAGTGTGACAGCGCTGAAAGCTGAAAATTGCCCTGGTCAGGAAGGGGGGAAAGTGTCCGGACTGGAAGGGGGTGAAAGTGTCCGGACTGGAAGGGGGTGAAAGTGTCCAGACTGGACGGGGGGGAAAGTGTCCGGACTGGAAGGGGGTGAAAGTGTCCGGACTGGAAGGGGGTGAAAGTGTCCGGACTGGAATGGGGGGGAAAGTGTCCGGACTGGAAGGGGGGGAAAGTGTCCGGACTGGAAGGGGGGTGAAAGTGTCCAGACTGGAAGGGGGGAAAGTGTCCGGACTGGAAGGGGGGAAAGTGTCCGGACTGGAAGGGGGGAAAGTGTCCGGACTGGAAGGGGGGGAAAGTGTCCGGACTGGAAGGGGGGGAAAGTGTCCGGACTGGAAGTGGGGGAAAGTGTCAAGACTGGAAGGGGGGGAAAGCGTCCGGACTGGAAGGGGTGAAAGCGTCCGGACTGGAAGGGGGGGAAAGTGTCCGGACTGGAAGGGGGGGAAAGTGTCCGGACTGGAAGGGGGGGGGAAAGTGTCCGGACTGGAAGTGGGGGAAAGTGTCTGGAAGGGGGGGAAAGCGTCCGGACTGGAAGTGGGGTGAAAGTGTCCGGACTGGAAGTGGGGGAAAGTGTCCGGACTGGAAGTGGGGGAAAGTGTCCGGACTGGAAGTGGGGGAAAGTGTCCGGACTGGAAGGGGGTGAAAGTGTCCGGACTGGAAGGGGGTGAAAGTGTCCGGACTGGAAGTGGTTAATTGGTTTACATGAAAGTTATAGCGTCTACAAATGGCGGTATAGATACTGAGATTTTAATTGTTTTTTGTACTAGTAAGCTCTGAGGAAAGGGACTCGGCCCCGAAACGCGTCAGCCGACCACACTGACACCCCCCATCGTTATGGCCATCTCCACCGTTCTACTAAGCTGTACATTTACGGCATGTTTGTATTTTTTCATCCCTTTTTTTATATATAATAAACCCCGGATAATGCACTTGGGGCGTGCACCTCCTGTTTGCTCTTTTTTCAGTTGTTGATTTCCCTATCTCAGGTATCCATAGGCGAATATGGTCCAGGTTCCCTTGGCTTTCCTGTGGCATTTGATCCCTGGAGCGCTGGAGAGTTTATTCTGTAGATGCAGTAAAGCATGCTTGTTATACTCCCCGTGGAACCTAAGGGGTTAATCCTCTGCATTGTGTAAAAAGGCTGTTTGATCCTGTCTTCTCTGATCCTCCCCTTCTTCTACTGTCCCCAATACATCTGCTGATAGAACAGAGAACTAAGAGACATTGAGCACATGCTCAGTTTTGGTGTGCATTGCCAGACAGTTTTTAGTTTTTTTTGGGAGGGTGCATTTGATCGGCACAGGGCCAATCAGCACTGTCCAGACAGATGGCAGGGGTCATGCAGCCTCCTAGGACAGTCAGGACTCCTCTTACAAGATTAACCAGTGCTCAGCTGGTCACAAGACTGCTATAAGTGCTGAGGTGAAAAGGTAATTATATTTACTAAAATAATTGCATTTCCATGCTGTGTGTACTGTGGGAGAGCGGATATAGTGAATGCGGGGTCCGGGGAGAGCGGATATAGTGAATGCAAGGTCCGGGGAGAGCAGATATAGTGAATGCGGGGTCCGGGGAGAACCAGATATAGTGAATGCGGGGTCCGGGGAAAGCGGATATAGTGAATGCGGGGTCCGGGGAAGCGGATATAGTGAATGCGGGGTCCGAGGAAAGCGGATACAGTGAATGCGGGGTCCGGGAGAGCGGATATAGTGAATGCGGGGTCCGGGGAGAGCGGATATAGTGAATGCGGGGTCCGGGGAGAGTGGAGTGAGCAGGGTCCGGGATATAGCGGAAGTGCGGGGTCCGGGGAGAGTGGATATAGTGAGTGCAGGGTCGGGGAGACCGGATATAGTGAATGCAGGGTCCGGGGAGAGGGATATAGTGAATGCAG